ATTTAATTTTAGTGATTACCCATATAGATATAATTTATTTGTCATTCATCTATAGTCTTTTAACTCTGCGGCCTACTGACGAAGAAACATGAAATTTGGCGACGGAGAAGAACCATATTGAATATGTTTACATCTAATAAACCATAATTCAATGTGAAAATGGTAAATATAAATATATTCTAGCTTGATTATTTATTTTAATTATTACGTATTTTATAGAAAACATTTATGTCATTGATTATAGTCTTATAACTTTGTTTTTTGTAGGGAAAACCTAAAATTTTGTTGTGGAGTAGAAAAATAACATATAGTTGATTTTTTTCATTGTCTATTGTAATTTTTGCTTAGTGATAAAAAAATCCTAAAAGTTCGGGATGGTTAAGAGAAATATTGAATATTTTTAGATATGTAATATACCATAAGTCAATGCGAATACGATGAATATAAACAATGTTGTGCTTGATTATTTAATTTTAATTAATATGCATACGTAGAAATTATGGGTCAATCATTTGTAGTCTCTTAACTTAGTTTTTTAGAGGTTAAGAAACTAAAATTTTGGTGATGGAGAAGAACAAAAATATAGAAATTTTTTACATCTATTTTACCATAATACAATGTGATTATGGTTAACACAAGTAACATTGAGCTTATATATTTAATTTTAGTGATTACCCATGTAGATATAATTTATTTGTCATTCATTTATGGTCTTTTAACTCTGCGGCCTAGTGACGAAGAAACATGAAATTTGGTGCCGGAGAAGAACCATATTGAATATGTTTACATCTAATAAAGCATAATGCAATGTGAAAATGGTAAACATAAATAAATTCTAGCTTGATTATTTGTTTTAATTATTACCTATTTTATAAAAAAATATATGTCATGGATTATAGTCTTATAACTTTGTTTTTTAGTAGAGAAAAACTTAAAATGTTGTTATGGACTAGAAAAATAAAATATAATTGAATTTTTTCCTCTACTATAGTCTATTGTAATATTTGCTTAGTGATAAAAAAACTTAAAACTTTGGGATGGTGAAGAAAAATATTGAATATTTTTAGATATAATATACCATAATTCAATGTGAATACGATGAATATAAATAATATTGAGCTTGATTATTTAATTTTAATTGTTATGCATACGTATAAATTATGGGTCATTCATTTGTTGTCTCTTAACTTAGTTTCTTAGAGGTTAAGAAACCAAAATTTTGGTGATGGGGAAGAAGATAAATATAAAAAAATTTACATCTATTTTACCATAATACAATGTGATTATGGTTAACACAAATAACATTGAGCTTAAATATTTAATTTTAGCGATTACCCATGTAGATATAATTTATTTGTCATTCATTTATAGTCTTTTAACTTTGCGGCCTACTAACGAAGAAACATGATATTTGGTGACGGAGAAGAACCATATTGGATATGTTTACATCTAATAAACCATAATTCTATGTGAAAATGGTAAATATAAATATATTCTAACTTGATTATTTATTTTAATTATTACCTATTTTACAAAAAATATATATGTCATGGATTATAGTCTTATAACTTTGTTTTTTAGTAGGAAAAAACCTAAAATTTTGTGATGGAGTAGAAAAATAACATATAATTGATTTTTTTTCATCTACTATAGTTTATTGTAACTTTTGCTTAGTGATAACCGTTTGGTTTACCGCCATTGACGGATCTTGAAAAGTTGCAGAAAATTCGGAAGTTGCATTTTCAAAAAAATTTCAACGTTTGTATTCTTATTAATCGGAGATGCATCTCAGTAAATTATCAGTTTTTTTGTTGTTTTAATTTCTTGTATGTCTGGTTGTACTAACCGTTTGGTTTACTTACAAGTATTATGGCTGATGGAGACGACAGACTAAGGCATTGGAGGATTGCACAACATGCATTAGTGCGGAGGGAGAAGAGTCAGGTTTCGGAGGCTCCTGTTCATTCTAGCCCAACACATGCAGAGGCATCAACTTCTAGAGATCATGCTTCTCCATCATATTTTTCTCATAGGAGATGGATGTCATCTACTGATGCTTCACTGCCACCGTCCTCTCACAAGCGATAGGTTTCGCCTATTCAAGCCCCAGAGGTGCCCGAGTCACCGGTTGTACCTAAGGAACCAGTGTTACTCCAAGTACCAGAGGGACCCCATACTGATGAGTCAATGCAACCCTCGATTGATGAGGCTACTGAGGATGATGAGTCACTGCCATCTCAGGAATTTTGAGGGGACCTGTAGAGTCTTCACTACTGTCTTTGTACCCAGACCATACTAACAGACATATCTGAAACGAAGAGGTAAAATTAGGTGAATTCCTTATTTTTAAATTGTGTATTATTATATTACAAGTTTTTGACATTAATTTTTTTTGCGGCACTGTGATCCGCTGAAGTTTTTAACCATGGACGAAAGATTACTGGTTTGCCTCAGCCAAATGAGGAGTGGTTTCAGTCTGCTTTGTCCTTATTTGGGATGAAGAACTTGTGCATGACCTGTTATATTATGGTCAACCACGGGATGCTTAGTGTATTAGTGGAGATATGGCACACCGAGAACTCCTGATTTTATCACCCGCTTAGTGAGATGTCTATCGCACTCGACAATGTGTCATGTTTTCCGCATCTTTCGATCATGTGGAAACTTCGAGATTATGGGAGAATTAGCAGAGACGAGGCACTCAAGATAATGGTAGACTATTAGGGAGTTAACCTAGAGGATTTTATGAGAGAGTTTAAAAAAACCAGAGGGACTCATGCTATGTTTAAATTCCTAAAAAGGGTATATACAAATGATATCCTTAGAGCTAAGGAGGCTAAAGGTGATGACGAGCAGGTGGGGCTCTAAAGAGTGTATGCTATGAGAGCATACATGCTATATTTGGTTGGCACTGTTATTTTTGTGAAGAAGTGTGCCATTTATACAGATGTCGTCTACCTACGGTACTTCGAGGACTTCGAACGGATCCATACGTACAATGGGGGGACTCTTGTTTGTCCTACTTGTACTCAAAGTTATCAAAGGGTTGTAGGTGGAAAATGAAGTAGGTCACAGGAAGCATCACACCATTGACGATAATATTCATTGGTCTTTTATTGTTTCTGTATTTTCATTTCATTTTTACAACACCCTTACTGGTGATCCATGTGTTCCAATACTTTCAAGCTTAGATCCTCCAACACTTCCCGCATATCTCCGACTTGTCGTGTGTACCGACTTACACTAAGGACATGTCGGATGCTTCTGCATTTTCCCCGGACAGAGGAAACCAAGTGATAATGTCGTTCAGAGTGTATATTGACTGTTTGGTTGCCGAGGATATGCACTTCAACAACTATGTCAATCACCGTGAGATACGGCCATTTGACAACATAGTGTTATACTCTTGATGGTTGACTTGCAGCTTACGTCTCACATTTCCTCATTTTCTTGAGTGTATCATGCGGCAGTTCGGCTACACTCAGTCTATTCACAGACACTCTGTTATCTCTGCTCCTCCTACTTTGACACGTAGAGAGATTGATGTCATATTTGATAATTATCTTAGTCACCTGGTATCGAAGGAGGCACGAAGTACCATAATTGAGAGCGACTGGAGCTATGTCAATGGGTACATCAGGTGGTTTATCAGGGTGTCACATTCGTATATGGTGCAGGTTGTTATAGGAGATCCACTGATGTCAGCTCATCAGGAGATACTAGAGGAAGATCAGACACAGTTAAATCATGCTCATGATGTCTTGCCTATATGTCGTTGTATAGTAGATATTGCGCGGAAAGGCATTGACATAGCTATCTTTCCTGATGGGGGTATGAGGTGAGGCAAGTCCTATATGCCATTATGATCAAGGCACGAGAGACACTGATGTACCATAGACAACGTCATAGGACAGGGTAGTGGACGCAGAGGAGCACGATGAATCAGAGGAGTTGTAGTCCGGCATACACTATATAGTAGTTATACTTTGAATTCATTATGAATTATATTTTATTTTCACTTCATTATACATTATCGTGTATTTCGACTTTATTTATATATGTCATTTTTGAACCATCTGAATTTGTATATGTCATTTATGTCTATCGATTGTATGATTTAAATCTCATCACATAACATGATTCTTAACATTTATAAATCATCCTTTTCGTTTGTATAACCATAAAACAAACATAATACACATTGTTCTGATAGGGCACGAAGATGCATCTTCATAAACCCTAAACAGAGATGCATCTTCGGAACAATAAACGTGTAAAATGCCTTTCAGAGTGGAATGTATGGTGTATGTTTTAAAATATTTTGTAGATGCGTCTCTGGATAAGTTAACGTTTTGATTTTAAAAAGATACGTCCAAAAATGTATCTCCAAAATCTAAAAAATATTTTAGATTTTTTCATAAGATGTTATTCTACCTCATTGGGTGGGATACAAAATTCTATTTTAAATTTTTCCATAAGATGTTATTCTACCCTCATTGAATGGGATACGAAATTCTCTTAAAACATTGTATGATGTAATTCCTAACAACTTCAATCAGTATAATTCTTTTTTACAATTTAGTTTGTATTTCCTTTCTCTCTTCTTCTTCCATTTTCTTAAAAATAGTAAAAAAATAAACTACAAGCTAATATTAGCTTTAATAATATTGGTGGGATCTATAAGGGCGTCAAACTGACTTTACAAAAGATTGGCAATATACGATGCCATTTGCAAGCATAATTATAAATCTACATTCTGATTTTACTATATAGAGCTTATTTTTCTCAGCCAAACTAAGGAGTTGACCCAACAAGTTATTAATTAATGGCTTAAACAAGTTTAATCTTGAAACCTCCAATTGAAGGATTTTCACATAAACAATTCAATTCTTGTACACATTTCAAAAGAGAATCTCACTCATACATAATTATCTTAAAGAAAACTCAACTTAATAAAGCTGAACTCAATCTTAATCTCTTAAAACTCAAGTGTATGAATTTCACTGAGGATTAGGAGGACGACTATTTGCAGAAGAGACCCTTGATCCCCATTCAAGCAACTCTTTGCTTGTGTCATCCTTGTGAGCAATCACTTCAATGAAGCAGAAACTATCCTTCTTTTCTTCTGTTGCTGTCTCAATTGCTTCAACAAGCTCCTCTTCGCAAGTGACCTGCAATAATCAATACATAAATCAACGCCACCGATATTTCAAATGAAAATCATGTTTTGGTATCTGATATGTATCAGTGTCGTGTCGTGTCATGCCCAGTGTTTGTGCCAGAAGCTTAATTACCTTAGTGGTCCAGCACTTTCCTTGACCATTGTGGATTGCATCAACCAAGCCAGTATAGTTCCAATTTTTAATCACGTTGTATGGTCCATCATGAATTTCAACTTCAATAGTATAACCACCGTTGTTAATCAAGAAGATTATGGTCTTCTGTCCACATCTCAGCATTGTGGACACATCCTGTGCTGTCACCTATAGAAGGAAAAAAAGAACTCAATAAAATTTTAAGGCTAAAATTTGGAATTTGAATGTAGTTTTTTGTGAGCAATTGAAATATTAATTGTGTAGTTATGATGTGCATGACAAACCTGAAAGCTTCCATCACCAATGCAAGCAATCACTCGCTTACTCGGAACAGCTTGTGCATAACCAAGAGTTGCACCAACAGACCATCCAATTGATCCATATTGCATTTGGAACTCATACCTACAAATTAATTTTATTTGGTCATTTTAATACTACGAAAAATTGTAAAATAGCTGTCATGGATTTTAAAAAAAAGGTTTACAATCGCGAGTAGAACTGCAAAATCTAAGCTTTTTATATTTCAGATACCGCAATACATGTGACGAAATATAAAGTCACATTAGAGGTCAATTATATTTCACTGCAATTATGTGCAATACGAAAAAAAATCGCGAAATACCAATAATCACATTCTATGTACTACTACTTACCCACATCCTTCTGGCAATTTCAGCTTTTGGCAGTTAAACCAAGAATCTCCTGTCTCAGCAATAACAGCAGTTTTACCAGATAACATATTCTGAATATGTTGAAAAAGAACATTAACCCTCAAAGGTTCTCCTTGTTCAGATTTCAGAGGCACGCCTTCAGGAACGAATATCCTATGATAATTTTCATAAGCAGTATTATTCCTCTTAATACGCTTCGCGAGCGCGCTAAGAAAATCCTTCATCAAAATACACCCAAAAGCAAGACCATTTCCGATCACAACCCTATTAGGCTCAACAATAATAGATTTTTCCTTCTTCAAAAGAAGTGAGTAACCAACAGAACTGTAATCGTTGAAAATCGGTCCAGCAAACAAGTACGCGTCTGCTGATTCGACAATCTCAGCGCAGAATGAAGTACTCACTGCACCCCAAAATGTTCCAATGAAATGTTGGTGATTCTCAGGGACCAGTCCTTTTGCTGATGGCATAACTGAATATGGATAAGCACTTTTATCAGCTAGTTCAGTAAAAGCTTCAGATGCTTTTGCTACTCTTAGTTTCGGACCAGCTACTAGCACTGGTTTTACTGCTTTATTTAGAAACTCCGCCGCTGCTTCCACTGCTGCCTCCAACCCCATCTTATTACTCAATCTATAAAATACAAATAATCACTTTTATGAAAAATGAATTTTAAGAGAAGCCGTTAAAAACAACTTTTTTATAACTAAAATCTAACAAAAGCATAGATGAGTAAAATCTTACTTCGGAGATAGCGAAAATGGAACAGGTTCCCGACTGAAAGTAGGGTGAGGAATTCCAGCTAAATTACAGCTTATGCTTATATAGACAGGCTTGCTTTCTTTCAATGCTGTTGAGATTGCAGTATCAATCATTTCATGAGCATCTTCCAAATTATTCACCACAGCCTAATCAAATCATCAACCATTTTAATACATTTAATCAATGAAATTCACATTCATAATATATTATAATAACTACCAGAAACTCACGCAAACAACATCTCGGTTCGAATTCGAAACAAAATGTTGAACTTAATAATAAAATAATATAGTTGAGATTTAAACCTGGTGGCAAGTAACAGTTTGGAAACATCTGAGTTCTTGGCTGAAATCAGGCAAACCAATAGTATGATGAAGAATTCTATTAGTTCCAAAATCATTAGAATTAGGACCACCAACAATGCAAATCACTGGCAAATTCTCACTATAAGCACCAGCAATAGCATTGATCACACTTAATCCACCAACGGTAAAAGTAACAACGCACGCGCCCACGCCCCTAGCCCGCGCGTATCCATCAGCAGCGTATCCAGCATTGAGTTCGTTACAACAACCAATGTTTTTCAGTTTCGGCTCGGCGATCAGGTAGTCGAGCAATGTTAAGTTGAAGTCTCCCGGAACGGTGAAAACGTCGGTGACTCCGACTTCGACTAACCGCCGGGCTAGGTGGCTGCCTAAGGTGGATTCTGATGAGGCTAAGGTGGTTGATGAAGTGGATTTTTGGATGGTTGAAACGGTGCCGTTTGGGGGAGATGCTATGTGGTTGTTGCATGGTTTGCATGTTTCGAGGGAGCCTAGATTTGTGGCCATAATGAGAAGAATGAGAGTTTTTGAAAGATTTTGTATTTTGTTTTTGTGTGAGAATTGAATGAAAGAGGATGAGTATTTATAGAAGTGAAATTTTTTTGTTGTGTTGTGTTACTTGGGAGAGAGGTAAGAGAAAAAAGAAAAAGAAAAATAAAAAAACCTAGAGAGAGAGAAGAGAGAGAAAGAGAGGTAACATGATGAATGTGAGATATGTGGGTAGTGGTGTTACAAGGGGCGGTTTTCTGTTTCTGCTCATTGAAATTCACATGTTATTTGTCTTGTTCTTCAGCATTGTATTGGAAAATTAAAATATTTTTTTGGTAAAATAATTTAATGGGACTACATGAATTTTAACTAGTGTAATTTTAGATACTACTTACTAATTTAAGTGGATATTATATAAATATAATGGGACTACGTAAATTTTAACTAGTAGTATATAGTATGATTTCTTTTTGACTCAAACAGAAATATATACTAAGATAAAGTGAGTTAAAATATATGGTTTGTCTTTTTCTATAGTTTAATGTAATTACTTTTTACAATTGACTTTCTCTAAAGAGTCTTAAAAACTTTATTAATTATTTGGCAATCCTATTAGATGGGCATGATAATACCGCGGGTTAGAAATGATTTTTACTCCGAACTCAAATTTAATTTTTTAAATAATTTTGGTTCTCCGTCCTAAATTAAATAAGGATGGAGATTTAGAATCTAAATCTCATTCTATTTAGTAAAATTATTTTTTAATAAAAATATTTAATTTTTTAAAAATCAAATTAGATTATAAATAATAAAATAAAATAATTTTAAAAAATTTCATATATATATTTTAAATATTTTAAATAATTTATACATATTAAAATATTGACCACATATTTAATATTTTAAATTAACAAAACTTAATAATAATGTATATAATGAAATAAATAAATTAGGTTTAGGGTGGGTACTAGTGTCTTCATTACTCAACTCATCCCCATACTTTTTAATTGGAAAAAACTCAAATTCAATCAAAGCGAACTTTCTCCGTCAACTTCAAGGCAGGCTCGGGTGGATATCCGCAAATTTGAATTATGTTGTCATACATACTGTTGAGATACATTATTAATTAACTAATAAATGAATTAATAAAATTAGTTATGTTTTTCTAAAATTAATTAGTTAAAATATTTAAATAAGTATTTGGGTCTAGTCTTTTTGGTCAACATTTATATGATTATTATTTTTATACAAGGAAGAGCATAAGCCCAACAGAAAACTAAGACAAGACTACACAGGGAAAAGAGACCCCGTTAATGTCACTACTAATCAAAGAAATTAGCTCTTTCGACCAATTATGATAAATAATAATCTCTGGATCATGGTTTAATCCCATCTTAGCCATAGAATTCGCACACCAGTTAGTTTCCATGTATATGTGAGAAAAATAGGTTTTTTTGTTATTGAATATCATGTTACGAATCTGATGCAACAAGCCTTTTCCGCTGCTCACATGAGTGTCTTTACCATTTAGTTTCTCTATTATAGCTTTGTTATCCAACTGCAACTCAACCTTTGAGAAATTCTGGTATCAGATATGAGATGTCGAAGGCGACATCACGACACTAATATCTGAACTGATATCAACTAAAGAACAAAGTAATAAATATAATAAGAAAGCAGTAAATAACACAACAATTGTTAATCTAGTTCGGGGCAACTCATCTACATTTAGGGGCTATCAAGCCAGGAAGAAAATTCACTAAAATAGAATTAGTTTGAAGATTCTCAAAAAACAACCTCAGGTTTACAATCTTCTTACCTAATATCTACCAGTGAAACTTCTATCTAAGACTCTCCTAGATATGAGACCCCTCTCACTTCCCTCAATTACACAACAGTGACAAAGCTAATAACAAAGAGTAATGGAAGACACACTCTAAAAACAATACTTGATCTTACTTAAAAGCTTCAATCAAGGACAATACACTTTTGCTTAAAAGCTTAGAGTGAACACTTACAACTCAATAAACGCAGTCTATTTCAAGCATCTAAGGGATGAATGAATGACTCACAAATGACAAAAACACAAGAAGATAAAACTCTAATTCTTAAGCAATGCACACTTTCAACCCTAGCTTTTTTATTCTTCATTTAGGATTGACATGTCTTTATATAAAGACAACACTTCTTCATGGGCTTGGGCATTAGCAAAAATAAAATCTGATTTGATCAAATCAAATCAGATAATTCTTCAAATCTTTTCATAATTAAAGGCATTCAAATAGAACCAAATCAGATTTGATCAAATCAAATCAAATCAAACTTCAAATCTTCTCAAGATTTTCTGCATGAAAATAGGACAAAAGATTCCGAAAAAAAACTCCACAAAATATGCAACAGAAACTGTTTTGTTTAAGGAAAAAATCCCCCTTGATTTGCGCCAGCAATATCTCCCACCAGGATAACACAAAGGATTGTTAAAATATAGAAACAAACAAATCATAACAATCTGAATAGAATGTTGTTCATTTCTGTAATAACATGTTAGAACATCAAATTTGGCATCTTGTATTCTAACTCTGCATAACCTGAATAAACAACCTGCAGAGATGGATGACCCACATGTCAAGACATCTTGCATAACATATAGTTACAGCAACATGTTTTAGAAAAATGTAGCCAACATAAAACTTTCACTTTGAATAACCTTTGTCGAAAGCTAGATTCAATCCCTTCAACACCCCCAAAGCTCTGCAACTTCCAATAAATCTCGAAAATCCCCCAAACTATCTCCCAGTGTGATCTCGGACAACCCCCAATAAATGGATTTTCTTTTATAGCTTACCTCTCCAACAACATCCTTCGTGATCCATCATACATTAGCCGAAGACCAATGAACTTGAGTAGTTATTCGATTACCCGTCGAAACTTGACTATGGAGCTTTGCAATGTCTGCATATAACTTGGTTTTGTCCTAGATCATATGAATTAAATTAGTTGACTTATTATACTCTTCATCATGCTTCTGTTTGTTCCTCCAAAAGCACAAAGTATGGCACGTCACTGCCCACGTATTCTCCCACTTTAATGAGCCAGTATACTGAACCTATTGAGGAGGTTCAAATTTATCATTCCTGCAAGTTAGATTCGAAAAAGTGGTTCCAATAGGGCTCTCTAATGAGCGATTTTCAAATTGTCATAGCAGGATTACAATCTCTTAGCGCATGAAAAATGTCTTCTGTTGTACTTGGGCAGTCGGTACATCAAGAGGCGCAAAATTTAAAATGATGGAGATATGCATTTGTGACAAACCTATCTTGCTTCACCATCCAAGAAAAGATTTTAATTCGTTCTAGAACTCTGAGATTCCATATATATTTCCATATCCCATCTGTTTCAGTGTGAGAAGTTTTCTTTCTTATCGACTCGTATGCACTAGAAATAGATATGACTCCATCAAATGTTTCTTTCTAAATGCATATGTCATCTCCATTCTCACTCCTAGAGGGATGAATCACTCTGATTTCTTCAATAGTTTCATTGTCAAAAAGGTTATCGAGGAGGTTGATGTTCTAATCTCCATTGTTATCTAGCAAAGTCTATAACCTGATCCACATTATAAGCTCACATATCTTTGATAGAATCTTTAAAGAGCTTACCTGATTGGAGCCAGGACTTAATCTAAACACTTCATGTCATTACCAATGTCCCTGATTGTGGAAGCGTTCATGATAGGCCAATTTTTCACATTGTACTTCACAATACTCGAATCTTGAGTCTTAGCATTAACACACTCCACATTGTTGTTATTCTTGTCATATTTTCCTTTGAGATCTTGACACCATATGTGATTCTTGCCTGACATCAACTTCCAGCCATGTTTAATCATGGAGACATTGTTCATTTCAACCAAGTTTTTGAATCCCAGACCCCCAATATATTTAGGTTGCATTAATTCACTCCATTTGATTGCGCGAATGTGCCTCTGCTATTTTGAATCACCCCAGATGAAACCTCTCTATAGTTTTTGAATCTCCTTAATGCAAGCCTTCAATAATGCACAAGTCATCATGGTATAAGTTGGAATTGCTTCAATAATTGCCTTGGTCAACGTAGCTTTACCTGCAAAAGATAAATGTTGAGCCTTCTAGCTCGTTAGTTTCATTTTAATATTCTCTAGGATGTGATTGAAATCTCTCCTTCTAGGGCTTCTTCCCATTATAGACATTCACAAATACATTCCTAACTCATTGGTCTCCTTATAACCAGACATCCTGATAAGTTCTCTTCTCAATTGAATAGGCGTATTGCTCGAGAAGAGAACTCTAGTATTTTCATTACTAACTCGTTGTCCTGACATATTGTAGAACTTGTCAAGAATATGTTTCACACATGACATTTGTTTAGTAGTGGCCTTTCTGAAAAGCAAGAGATCATCTGCAAACATTATATGCGATATACTTGGGCCTCTCCTACTAGCTTTGATTCCAACCCACTTACCATTACATGCTGCCTCCAAATTAGATGAGACAACTTTCTCATACATGAAACAAACAAATATGGTGAAATTGGGTCCCCCTATCGAAGACCTTTAGCATCTTTGAAGTAATTTGATTCTTTGCCATTCCATCTTATGCTCATTGAAATAGGGGAGATTACAACCATTACAACTTGGATCATCTTTGGGGGGAAAGCCTGCTTCTTCTAGCACTCTCCGCACATACTTCCAACTTAAGTTGTCGTATGTTTGTGCCAAATCAACTTTGATCACAAAGTAGCCAATTTTTCCTTGTTTTCTATTCATATTGTGCATTAGTTCCTAATCTATGACAATATTTTTATGTATGCTTCTTCCTGAAATAAACTTAGTTTGGTATGGCCTAACAATCTTGTCAATGTACTTCTTCTGTTTGTTATCAATAAGCTTGCTCAAGCTTTTATAGATAGTGTTACATAATGAGATCAACCTGAATTATTAAACCTGGGTTGGATGAGGCAACCTTGGAATAAGAATAATT